TTTATAAAAATAGTTTTGACCGACAAGGATTGTTACGCAATATACGATTGGAATAGACAGGCATTTTTGTTTAATTTAAACATGTTGAAATGTATGCAGATATTTTATAATTAATTTCGAATTACATAATGGGATTCTATTATCGATTCCGCTCCAATTATAGCTTGTTCTCTATGATAAATTTAGAATAGTCAAAATATTGAAATTCAACAAGTAATTGTATAATAAACGGCACGTTATTAATTAAAACCCGATGACGATGACTAAAAACTTATGTGGCGAAAACACGGTTGCGATGTCATCGACCTCACTCTAGAATGCAACTTTAAAATCTACGTCTCAAACTTTATGGAGCGTCAAGTTGCGCCCGTGGCTGTACTAATTAAGATTTGACGAAGCGAGCATCACGGATGGGTGCCATCGCGCTTGGAACCCATTTTTTTTTTGATACATATCTTCACATTCACACAGAATTTAAGCAAGAAATAACTTATGAGTTAATTAAGAGTCCAATAAACTCCACATTGATAATACGTATACCGAATTATAACGATTAAATAGCGCTATTAATTAATTTTTTAAATTAATATACAGACAATAGACACGTTAGAAAAACTATACTACCAGTCTTTAGAGAAAATAAAGATAAGAAATTTAATTAACTTATTTAAGATTAAAAATATTTTTTACTTTTCTATTGTAGTGCAATCTCCCTTTCCTATAAGCGTTGTCTCATTATTTTTCACATTGCTTTGGTATGTATTTTAATCGATGATTTTGAATAGTTGCAATTTTTGCGCTGTATCATCTGCAATTATCCATTAAACTATGAGCAAGTTTTTTTGCTATAAAGTCCATATCTAAATTCGATACGTAGACTGTGTAGTGGTATTCTATACAGCCTTACCTACCACTTAAAATTTTATAATTTATTGCCCAATAACGAAACCGAATTCCTTTTCGTCATCAAGTGTAGCTCTGTGACATTCATAACGTCATGATTTCGTTAAATTTGCTCAATATCATATAATGAAGTGGTCCCAATACTGATCCTAGAGGTAAACTTGTTTTTTCTTCACAGTTTTTTGGCAATTTATTTATGGCGATGGATTTATTACAAATAATCTCTTTAACAAGAACGACTAAAGAATTTCGTAAAACCTGCAGAAATTAGGCAGTGCACATTAAATTTTACTATTGCTAAAGCCCAATGTATGTCCAGTATGCAAATGATTTTTTTTTTTATAGAATAAGGGTGACAAACGAGCACACAGTCCACCTGATGGTAAGTGGTTGCTTGCGGCCCATAGACATCTACATCTATCCTCGATTACGAATCAAAATGCAGATGCGTTGTCATCCGTAAGGACTAAGATGGAATGCTTCGTTTCCAGTAAAAAGAGTCTCCGGTTCTCTACACTCACCATACGAAGCACAGCAGCGTTAAGCTGATATTTTACGTTGGTATTCTCACCATATGGCGGGATCGAAATTGGTTATCGTGTATTTTATTTATTTGTGCTCTTGAACGCGTAGATAGAGGATTGAGGTCAGAAAATTAACTCGCTTTATTGGTAGCTCAATCAACCCTTATTTGTCATTAATGGTGTACTTCCCCCGTGTTAATTAATGTTAATAAAGTATATAATATTAAAACTAAAATCAAAATTAGACAATAGCGAGTTATGGAATACAATTAAATTCAATTTTAAATACATATCTAAGATAATGTTGTCTTTAGCTAAGCTGATATAGATCCTCTAACGAATTACATAGGAAAATTTTTTACTGCCCTATGATTTAGTTTACTGCAGTCGACACGCCGACGTTATTATTATTCCGGCTGGTCCCCAAACAGCGGCTGAGCTCCCCTCGCCCTGTATTGATCTTCCTACGCTTAGAGTACCTAGGACCGATTCACCCTCTATTTAAGTATGTACCTATAAAATGTTTTATATAGATGATCGTTATTGTAGCCGCCTTTTTGTGCTTAATTTGTTACCAATTTAAGGCAGGATGGTTCTTTTTTCCACGTTAGCAAGTCCTTAATTTCTTACATCTTTCGTTCGATTTGGCTCCTAATTCTGTTCGTTCCATTGCCATTGAATTCAAGTCCAAGAATTCAAGTTATTAATAATAAAATAGGTAGGATTTTATCAGTCACAGAAACTAAGTAATAATTAAACAAAATAAAAGCACTTGGCGGTAAGAAATATATTTATGTAGTACGTATTAGAAAATCCCGTTAATTGATTTTATAGTGGCCGTAGTATTTATATTATGGCACAAAAAATGAGGTTTGAAAATTTTTATTAGTGTATCTATGTAGAAAATTTAACCATGTCTTAAATTAACTATAATTACTCAAGGTTACTTTCAATAAAATTATTTTATCTTAATCGTTAGTCAGTCAACGAACCCTCGTGGCAGGCCCTTCAAATATTAGGGGTGGTTCAGTCTCCTCGCAATCGATTCTCGTATTCGGGAAGTCAGTCCGTCTCTTTCCTGCATATCTGGAGTGGAGTGTATTTCTCTCTCTTTTCAATACATGAGCCACTGTCCTGTCTGAGTAGATTATACTATGTACCTTATATTACAAAACGTTGCTATCGAATATTTGTATTTGAAGAGAGAAGAGTGGAGGGAACTTACTGTTTATTGCCGTGTAGAAATATTACTTCCATTACAAAATTGAGGCCATAATAATTTCCAGTTAACATGATTCATAAATTCAGTAAATTATTCCAACAACAAAACAAAACAGGAAAATTTTCAAAATTCTTTCGTATGCTTAATGTAATATTGTGTCCTATGATATTTACTGTTTAACGGAGTAAATTAATAGCTATTAAACTAAACTAAATAAACTAATAAACGCGATCTTAGCATATATTTATTTGTTTTAATATTGCTATACGGATCAATAATCTTGTTTTAAGCTGACTAAAAGATAGAAATAAATTATATGTAATAGAATGTAAATATTTTAAATACGCACATTATTTTCTTTTTTTTTTTTGAGAATAATGTAAACAAAAATGGTAAAGGATAGTTCCGTGGGGCAGCAAACTGTAATTAACAATTATTCGTTTTATGATTGATGAAATTTTTAAATGCAATGATGCGTATAGTGGCGAAAGCATTATATCGACATACAAACCGGTTTCTGTTCTTTACGGTAATTTTACATCATGCGTAAATAAATTGTATCGCTTCCTATTCTCCGTATTTAGAGGGCGAACGAAATAATAATTTTGAGATGAAGTAATGAATTAAAAATGTTTACAGCTTTACGACATTTTTAAACGAAATTGCTGCCTAAGTAAATAAAGGTCCCTAGTTTTGTTTGCTGCATGTTTTTATGAAACTTAACGAATGGTCGGATGTGTCAACCATGTGTTGTTTAGTCATAGTCTAATTTTAGTACGCCAATAGCTACAGATTACTGTTGTTAATAACAGATGGATTTTTCATTTATTCTTGTTTTAAAAAAGCCTGTAATTTACTATTCTAATTAATCTATATTGCGCACCAGTTCAAACTACTAAGTATGATTATAATTTTTAAATTATGAATGTGTAAATTACTATAGAATAAATAAGAATAAATGAGAGTAGAATAAATGCTGTAGAAATGCGTTCCTTAAGGAGTATGCTAGGGCTGAATCTGAATGACAGGGTGAGAAATAGTGTGATAAGAGAAAAGTGTGGTTTGCAAGATGACGTTGTGACAAGGATTAAGAAAGGAATGCTTCGGTGGTTTGGTCACGTAGAAAGAATGAACGAGGAAAGAGTGACAAAGCAAATTTATGTTGCGGAAGTGAACGGCAGGGTCGAGAAGGGACGCCCTAGACGAAGGTTTATCGACCAAATCGGCGATACATTAAAAATGGGCCAGATTAGGAGTACCCTTAACCGACGAGCGTGTATGCGTAGATATATGGATGTAAAAGAGGCGAGAGAGGTGTGTCAGGATCGCGCCAAATGGAAGTCCGTAGTCTCTGCCTACCCCTCTGGGTGACAGGCGTGAGTGTTTATGTATGTATGTATATGTAAATTACTAATAACTAGTTTAAATTATAAAATACGATTATAATAGTTTATTGACCTGCAAAATTAAGCCTAGAGTCAAAATGTAAAAGATTGAAGGTAATTAAATTTGTTAAAAGCTGTAAATCCAAAATCTAATACGAAGTTGAACGGCACCGGGTTAGTTAGCGCATCCGAGTAATTGTATTTATTAGCATAATATCGCATGCCGCTAAGCAAACCACAGCGGAACGGTTATTTTTATTACATTGCCTTTTGTTGGTATTTTGGATAATATTCGTGTGAAAATCAACTTGTACAAACTAATTCTTTATTTTTTTTTATAACTCATGTCTATTTTATTTTATATATTAGATAGACACATCATAGGGTTACAAATTGTAAAGTTAAATAGGTATTATAAAACAGATAAAATATCTTTCACTAAAATCCTATGGTTGTGGGTATTGCATGTTGATACATAATGTTTATTGCAATATAATCAATAATAAATGGCCATGTTGTCGTAACGCACTGTTGATAATGATATTGTCTTAAAGTTTTAAACGACGTACATACCAAACAAAGAAAAGATAAAGAACAAAAGAATAAAATCGCACGACGTATGCATTTATCACGAACATAATGGATAAAAAAGTCGATGGGTATCGATGAAATCATGCGAGCGCTCCCTCTCTAAAGTTCCGTTAATCGCGGTAAAATATGCTGAACATGTTAACAGAACTATATCTAACCAAGTAAAATCCAAATTTAAGATAGAAAAAAAAATGCATTTAAGTTTGACAACTATAAAATAGTAAAGAAAGCCATGTCAGAATTTCCATAGCCAGTAACTTTAAGGAGTGTCCGAAAAATAGTTGTCATTGACTTTTTATAGATATTTATTATATTTTTTTTTAAATTAAAAGCTGTTGAGGATGGAAACGTTAGTTGTTAAAATGATTCACTTACCTAGGTTTATGGAATGGAGAAAATAAGGATAAAACGAGCACTGTGTTCAACCGGCGAAATGCGACTGAGAGACGAGGCCGTGGAATAAAATAAAGAGTGTCTGTGAACTCGAAGCGGACAGAAGTTGTATGCGGGCGGGCGACGTACAATACGGGGGTGGCGCGGACGTTAGCGCCTGGTAGCGCTGTACTGCTTAGTGCTTACCGTCGCTGCCTGTACGAATAGGAATAGGTATTATCTGTGGATGTCTGAGTCTGAACTTAACTAATAGCTATGGGTACTTACTATAGGGCGTTGTGTAGTTGATCGTCGTACACGTTGTCCGTCCTCGATGATTCATTCATAAACCATATCACATTGAAACAACGATAATTGTGATTGTGAAAGAAGCGTTAAACGTTGATTGCGGAATGATATTATTTATTAATTACTAAATCAATAATATCTGACAGTTCGCTTTAGAAGAAGAGTAATTAAGGGTTCAAAACACCTATTTAATAAAAAAAGGAACTTTATTTGGAATTAGTACAGTTAAGCCGACCCAACAACTAGTGTTAAAATAATATAAACAATGTAAAACAAACAAAATAATACACGTTGAAGACAAATTTTCAACATATTATGTATATTAAAATGTCGTCATTGTAGGGCTATGCTGCAGCTATATATTATGGTTGTAATACGAATTAGATCGGCTCGGCCGGGAAAGGACTACGCTCTCACATAATACCAGCATAAAATAGTAGCTAAATGCTGGTGTGTTTCATATGGTGAGTGTAAGGAACCGGAGGCCCTTTTTACTATATACGAGGCGTACCATCTTGGTCCTCATGGGTGACAACGCATTTGCATTTTGATTCTTAATCAAATATAGATGTAGATGTCTATGGGCCACACTATCCATTTACCATAAGGCGGACTGTGTGCTCGCTTATCGTACTTATTCTATATAAAAAAAACAAAGGTGCAACCACGAGATGCTATGTTGCTTTGTGAAGACCTGCACACTGAATCTATACCTATTAAAAAGTACTCTGTTAGATGAAATATATAATATTCTAGAACTCTTAGATAAAGAGCCCATTCTAACATCTTCCTAAAACTTATAAGCTACAACTAACTTTTAACCATCTATCGTGGATAACCATTTAAAAAAATCGTCTATTAGTATGTATATCTATCCGGCTTAATCTTCGAAATGACATTGAATTAAAAAATTATACGTGGTAGAGCCATGCTGCAGCTATATTAGTAGTATAGTTGTAGCACGAATGGGTCGGCTCGACCGGGCAAGGACCACACACTTACAGAACACCAGCGATAAATAGCAGCTTAGTGCTGCTTTGTTTCGTGTGGTGAGTGTAGTGAACCATAGATTATTTTTACTGGTTACGAGGCATTCTATATTAGTCCTCAGGGGTAACAACACACCTGCAACGCATTCTTAACCGAGGATTAATGTAGACATCTATGGGCCACAGCATTCACTTACCATCATGTGGACTGTGTATTCGCTTGTCACCCTTATTCTATAAAAAGAAGTTATAATTCCAAGATTTGGCATGACGCTAATACCGAACAACTGTTAATATTGATTCTCTCTCCCCCTCATAAAAGTTGTCCATTTAATGATTTAACCCTAAACTAAAATTTCATGTACGTATTTATTTAATTAACGTCTAGAAAGGGCTCGGTCTACCTTACTATATCAAAATCGATTTATTTTAAGTATAAGCACAGAATAAATAATAGTTTTAAATTATTTATTTAAATAATTTAAAAAGTTAAATTAGAACATGTAGGTATTGTTTTTGTTACAATCATAGGCTTAGAATATATTATTATCCTAAATCTATGGTTACAACAGAGAAATAGTTGTACCCCTTTTTCAAAGCAAATAAATCAGCAATATTTCTGTGCTGAATAAATCTGTTCTCGACTGACATAATATAAACCCGCAACCACGTCCTGAATCATCATCCTTGGGTTAGCATCTCAATTACTTCACCCACTGGCGTATTAAATAACGAGATATTTTACTAAAATATTGTACCGACATATTTTTTTTAACACTTATGGGCACTAACATGGATGCAATTCGAAGTCAAACATTATTTCCTCCTGTATGATTATAATACTCATATATACACACTAATAAGTAACTTTATATATTGAACTATAACCACCGAATAAATATTAGTTCAAGATAACTAATTATATAGTAAAGTAACATACCTAGATATAATAAAAAGTAATATGTTGTTTCACAAAGCAGACGATTCGCTCCTTAGACGCTGTTGCCAGTCTTCTTTCTGTCTAGATATTTTACGTGTGGCGAATAGTCTATTCGCTAAGATAGTGTCGGTACCCGGAGATATATACTTATTATTTTGCTTATATTTTACTAGCTGTTCCCCGCGACTTCGTTCGCGTGTTAGGGTTTTTATGTTTTTGCGCGGAACCCTAATTCTTTTTCTAAAATAAAAGTAGCCTAAGTTACTCCTTATGAAATCAGCTATCTGCCAGTGAAAGTCCCGTCAAAATCGGTCCAGCCGTTTCGGTGATTACCCGGAACAAACAGACAGACAGACAGACAGACAGACAAAAATTTTAAAAATTGTATTTTAGTTATAGGTACCTACCGTATTTACTTTCATATGCATTTAGTAAAAAACTGTAATTTTGACATTACAAACAGACACTTCAATTTTATTTATTTGTATAGATTATCTTTTTACTGTGTTTGTCAAATAAATGTTTTTCTATTCTAAGAATAAAATAGAATTCTATTTTATTCTTATGGTTATTATAATAAAATACGAATATAAATAATAAAACAAGTTAGGTTGCAAAGAACCTTTCACTACGGCGCTTCGTTTTAAAATTCCAAATTCTCTTTCGGGTGTACGCCGCACGCGGCGCCTTTGACAAAATGCGGCACGTGCCAAGGAGGCGCGACACAAAGGTATCTAAGCGAACAGGCTATAAACGAGATGTAAAGAGTACCTACAGTGGCGATATGAAGTTCACCAAAACGGAAGCGGCCTCTTTTTACTGCATCAGGATCAGGAATTGATTGTCTCGTTGGTCTCGTAGTTATAAACGCGACTGATAATCATGTTGTCCCGGTATCGAATCCCGGTTTGGGCTTGAATCAGTTATTGGGTTTTTCTGTCAAGAAATTCTCAAGAACAGCCCGGAGTCTGAAAGTTTCCGTTATTCGACCCACGTGCCAGGTGCTGGCCCAAATGATTCATGACACTAGTGATTTGCCCCGGCTCCGCACGGGTGTTTTGAAATAAGGGAAATTTTACGGAAAATTCTGTTAAGTGGCTATGTTAAGTGGAACCCATTACCTGATACCTACATGGGCTTACCACATTAGTGGCATAGCACTGTCCTGGGGGACAGTGCTATGCCACTAATGTGGTGAGATGAACGGAATAGAGAGTACTTGTGTATATACTTCTGCAATATTAACCCGATCTCAAAGATCGGGTCATCACCGTTGAAATTGATCGCCGTGAATGAAATCCGAACTGAATTCTGGGGGACAGTGCTATGCCACTAATATGGTAGGCCCATGTAGGTATCAGGTAATGGGTTCCACTTAACATAGTGGATATGTGCTCTCTTGTCATCCAGCTATTAAAACAACTTCGGATTTGAACTTTGAACCTTAAAATGTTAGATAACCCAATGTTTCTGATCGAGTTTTTCGTAAAATTTTCCTTATTTCAACACACCCGTGCGTAGCCGGGGCGAATCGCTAGTGTCATAAATCATCGGATCCAGGCTTGAAATTTAATGAACAAAAAACATTATTAGAAAAAACAAGTTAACACAAACGAATCAAAATGTAAACGTAAAACTAATAAACTCTAAAAGAAATGAAAATTCATGTAAGAGCACGCGCGACCCTCCGTTCTCTCTACCAAAAACAGTTGCGCACAGTTGTGTGTGATTCATACAGTTAGCAACAAAGACACGGCAGCAGTGAGTTCGCCAGCGCATCGCATTGCGCTAAATAAACCATATATTAATAATTTACTCGGACAGTACGAAAAATTATTCAAATACAAATAGGTATTGTTCGAACTAATTCCTGTCGCTTAATTTGACCATCGCGCATCACAACAAAATTTGCGATATCGTCAAAACCATCTGGATGATTGGCGGTCCAGCACAGTGCTATTTACGAGAAGTTTTCTTACTCGCTCAACTTCTTCAAGAAAAGAGTCTATTATACAAAAAATCTATATACCTTCTATACTATGCTTTGGTGGATTGCCTCGTAGCTTATGGACTTGGTGTGTACGGTCGCACTTTTGCTTCTTATCTAAAGAACATTAAAAATTTACAGACAAGATTTCTAAAATATCTTATAAATGAAAAATTTAAGAAAATTGTAATAAAGATTATAATAAGTTATTCTCTATTTGTAAAATTTTACCGCTAGAACACAAAGTTAACATGTTATTAGTTTTGGAAAATATTAATAAAAATCATTATAAAGAAAAAGTGGATAATAAATATAGAACCAGGAAAGTTATAGAAGGGAAACTAGTTGAGCTTAGTGTTAAAAACTACTATGGTAAAAGATGTACAAAATATTTAATACCAAAGCTTTTTAATGAAACAGACTGGGTAAGGCAAGGTAGGGCCTGATTGTAAATTTACAAATAAAAAGAAGCTTAAGAATTATTTTTTAGATAAAATAGAAGATACATGATAGCGTATGTAACTTTTTTCTGGGTGAACTGATTTAGATGTTTCTTTTGAAACAACAAAAAGTGTAAGATCTTTTCGTCACTACACTTTGTGTCATAGTGTAGAGTGTAGACGGCCTTGGCGGCGAAATAAGGAAGTGAGATGGAATAATATCCAGCTCCCTCGCAGTTTTTCTTATCTTGCCATGAAAGAAATATTATTTTATTTCAAATGACGCTTCATTTTGATAGATGCTAGTAATTCATTTATTTGTATTTGTTAATCAACAATATAATACCTACGTTTATCAATAATAATAAACTACGCAAGGAACTTCGTTCCAACCGAGTTTTCCACGACACTCACGAATTTTTTTTATATTAAATCTGGTGCTTCACATGTGCTCCCATATAATCATCAAGGTCTGACCAATAGTTTTTGAGTTATTATTAAAAAATCGTATAACGTACAAAATTTTTAATTTTAAATT